GTTGAATGCAATTTTTGAATTCCTCACCCGCTTGACTATTCGTAGCCAAACTCCAACCCTGAATGACCCTCAGCACTGACGTCCTCAGCTCCTTCTCACATGCTGCTGAACAGAGCTGAAAGTCATACAACCCAGCTGACTGGGTCTACCGCACGTTTATCTTCAGCTGGGCTCTCACTGCAGCAAGGCAGTCCTCCTAGTCTGCCTGAATGAATGCTCTGTCCCACTTCCCATGGAGGCTTCTCTGAACTGGGTCTTCTCTCCTCAAGCTCCCCCTCCCTCTCCTAAGGACCCTGCCTCCTACTTTACTAAGAAAATGGAGGCTGTACACAAGTGTTTCCACTTCTCCCCTTCTCTTCATCCCCAAACCTCCTGTCATCACCTCCCACTCCCCCCCAGTCTCTAACAAAGAGGGGGGCCTTGTCCTTGCCAAGGCCAGCTTCCCACCCCTTTCCATCTTGAGCCGAATGTGCTGTCCTTATCATCCCTACTCAGTCACCAATCCTCAACTCTCCCGCAGGGAATGTGCTCCTGGGCTGTTGGGGGGATTTTTGTGCATTTGTTCTGGTGATATCTTTTGCTAATTGATATTAAGCGGTTCAATAGAACTGGGGTGCTAGTCACATGGAAGGGAATACAACTGGGGGGGACTTGAGCTGATGACTCAAGAAAAGAGAGACACCAGCCCCTCAAGGTTACCCCTGAAACACTGATGGGGCAGATGAGGCCCACCCTTCTCTGAGCTAGGGAGCCAGAATACACAGGGTACACTAAAAAAACCAAACCAGGCCTTGCCTAGAGCCTGGCCTGCAGCCTCGCCCTCTAGGTCCTCGAGTGCAGCCCTGTGCCTGAATCCGGACTTCGAAGAAGTTCACCCCTGCCCTAGACCCTGGCCCTCCATCCGTGTCTTAGATCCCTCCTCCCTTTCTGAAGCCAGCATCTGAGAAGGGTCACCTCCAGGGAGGCCTCCACTGCCCCTTCTCTCCCTGGCTCCTCTGCCTTTTGCAATCTGGCTTCAGACCTCATAGCTTCACCCAAAATGCTCCCTCCGAAGTGATGAAGGAGGGGCAGCTAGGTGGCACAGTCCTGGAGTCAGGAGGGACCTGAGTTCAAATCTGACCTCAGACACTTGATACTTACTAGCTGTGTGACCCTGGGCAAGTCACTTAACCCCACTGCCTAACAAAGAAAACAAAAACAAAGTGATGAAGGTCCCCGAGGTGCCAGAGCTGATGCTCTTTCCTCAGTCCTGCTCCTTCTGCACCTTGGCAGCGCATTTGACACTGTTGACCCCCTGCCCTTGATCTCTGAGACCCTGCTCTTCCCTGGTTCTCCTCTTACCTGTCTGAGTCTCCTCTGCTCCATCCTCATCCAGGTTACACTTGGCAGGTGTCCCCTGCGGCCAGTCCTAAGCTGGCTTCTCTTCTTCCTCACTATCATCAACCACCTTGGGTTCAATGATCACCTTTATGCAAGTGACCTCCAGGTGGATAAACTCTTCTGAGTGCCGGTCTTCTATCCCCGACTGCCTTCTGGACGTCTCAAATTGGACTTCCGAGAGACATCTTGAACTCAACTGAACTCATCATCTTTCCTCCTAAATCCTCCCCTTTGCAATCTTCCCTACTATTATGGAGGGGGCCTCCATCCTCCTAATCACCCAGGCTCAAACCCTGACTCCTCTCTCTCCCCTCCCCCATCAGCATTTATTCTAGAGCCACATATGGATTTGTATTTATTGGAGGCATCTAGTGGCATGATGGCTGAGCGCTGGACTTGGAGACAGGAAGACCAGAGTTCAAATCCAGCCTCAGACACTTATTAACTGTGACCCCACCAAGTCATTTCACCTCAGTTTCCTCAACTGCAAAATGGAGATAATAATTGTACCTCCCTCCCAGGGTCGTTGTGAGGATTGAATGAGATATTTGTAAAGTGCTTGGCCCACAGTAGGTGCCATATAAATGCTTATTCTTTTCTATTACTCTGCACATATTTATTTTTGCATAGTCTCCCCTAGTTGACTGGAAGCTCCTCAAGGGCAGGGGGGGTGGGCTTCACTTTGTCTCTGTATCTCTGGTGTCAGCACAGGACCAGAGACAGCCCAGGCACCTGATAAGAAGCCCTGCTCCAGGAGGTGGAAGACTGGGCATCTAAAGTAGATGGAGACCACGTGTTCAGTGTAGCAATGAAGGGGAGGGGAGAGGTGGACCAGGAGTGGCCCAGGGGGAGAGATGACCACCTTTGTGGGCAGTGGGAGAATGGGGCCAAGCCGAAGATGCCAGAGACGAGGGCCTGATGCCTGAGCAGGGATCTGGTGGAGAAAGGGGAGAAAATGCATTGGGGTCATCTGGGATCCCAGGAAAAACATGAAATCTTGGAGCAGGGGAATCTCTGGTGTTCAGAGTACAGCACAGACTCTGATTGGATGAGGTGACTACTATTTGTCACCCGTAGGGTTCTAGGGGTGAACTTGAGGCCTGAGGGAATGGTTTTTCTATAGCTCATGAGCCCCCACAGGTGCGCTTCCCCTGATGCATTATCACTTGATAGCAATTAGCCAGACTTCATTAGTATATAGAAACATGTATTCATTACGGTAAGAACAGTAGGTACAAAACATTACACACTCAGGGGCAGCTAGGTGGCACAGTGGGTAGAGCTCCAGCCTTGGAGTCAGGAGGACCTGAGTTCAAATCTGACCTCAGACACTTGACACTTACTAGCTGTTTGACCCTGGGCAAGTCACTTAACCCCAATTGCCTCACCAAAAAACATAAAAAACAACCCATTACACCCTCTCCCACAAAACACAGAGTCCAGGGGAAGGCAGGATCAAGCTTACAGAGCAAAGATGGTTTTCCTCAAGCGATTCCTTCTCAAGAGCTTGGCCAGAACTGCTTCCACCATTGAGCTGGCCTACCCCCTGCATGTCTGAATTCCAAATGAGCCCCACTGGGTGTGACTGAGTTTCCTCAACCAATCCCATTGCACTTCTCTAGGTCAGTTTATTTTATTTCATCCAATGGCTTTCATTTCTTCCAAATAGATTAAAGACCAGTTTAATGCCTTTGATCAATTGATTCAGTGTTTAGATGATTTGATTTAATTTTCCTGATTCAAGTGACCCCCACCTTTATAAGGGGAAAGACAGGGAGAGGGGGTTATGATGCTGACTTCATGGCTGATGGATGGTCTTAATCCTGAGGAAGGAGCAGCAGGTGAGGAGAAGGAGGAGGTTTGTCATACCTCCTGTGGGAGGGCAGCATAAGGACTGCTGAACAGCAATGCGGGTCCAGCCAGACTTGGCACTTGGGACTGATTTGAAAAAGGCTTCATTTGACCCGTTCTGATCCAATAAGCCTTGATTAGATACATAATAATACATAATTAAATACATCTCAGAGACAAGGGTATACAGGTTCAGAAAGTGGAACAGTGGGGAACAAAGAATTCTAGAGTAAATTAACTGAAAATTTAAGGAGTCAAGGCTGGGTAAAGAGGTAAGTGACACTAGAGGGTTCAATGAGATAAATGTGTATCAAGTGCTCCTCATCATCATCATATAGTAAGGGACAGGTAGACAGAATCTGGATTTGGATTCAGACGACCTGGGTTTGAATCATGACTTTGCAACTTACTGTCTGTGGGACCACAGGCCGGCCATGCCTCTTCTCTGTCTCCTCCTTTGCCAAATGAAGAGTATAGGCAATCTAATCCCTCCCAGATCTAAATCGATGATCTCAGGCTGTGTTAAGAGAAGTGGGGCCCCACATGTACAAAAATATTTATAGCCGCTCTTTCTGTGGTGGCAAAGAATTAGAAACAGAGGGGATGCCTATCAACTGGGGAATGGCTGAACAAGTTGTGGTATATGATTGTGATGGAATATTACCGTGCTATAAGAAATCATGACTTTAGAAAAACCTGGAAAGACTTACATGAACGGATGCTGAGTGAAGTGAGCAGAACCAGGA